GTTTGTGTCATTACAACAGAAGAAACAATGTACAATGGCGATCGCTGTCCATTCATGCAAAAAAGGAAATAGCTACATATGTAAAACGATTAATTGTGATGCTGAGTTGTGGTATCCGTGATATTTAACCATACAAATAAGGAGCGCCGTATGCGACAGCAGGGGCGGCCAAGGGAGCGGCCAAGGGAGCGGCCAAGGGGGCGGCAATGTGGCTGGCAGAGTAAGTGACGCCAACAGGGCTCACTACGTTCTGCACCACAGGGCTAACAGCGGCGTAAGCGTGACTCTCCGCTGTGCTGTAGGCGAAGTTTCCTCCCAGGCGGTCGGACTTGATGATGGCGCTATCAAAGCTAGGAGCGCGGACCAAAGCAGTGGGTCCAGCCACGATGCCAGCGTTCGCGGCACACAGGACGGCAGCCAAGCACAGCAACACCTGCACAGGTTTCAAGTTCAGTTAATTTTTATTTCATAAGGTAGAGTGAGAGGGGTACGCGGTAGCGTAGTTGGTTGAGGCACTGTGCTACAAGCCGGAAAGTCGGGGGTTCGAATCCCGATGAGATCTTTTTCAATTGACCTAATCCTTCCGGCCGCACTATGGCCCTGGGGTCGACTCAGCCTCTAACAGAAATGAGTGCCAGGAATATTCTTGGAGTAAAGGTCGGCCAGCGCGTAAGGCTGCCAAACTTACCGCCATCTTTGAGCTGATTGTCTAGAAAACGTGGGACCCTCAACGTCTCACAACCCTATGGGCCTCCACGGCCTGTTACAGGGATACCTTTATTAAGGTGGGATGAATATTAGTTCACTTAGCACGCCGGCCACTATTGGGCCTATTGTGTGAGGCCCGGATGTTCGATGTGTATGAAACAGTAGGTGCAATAAGAACTTGCAGGGGAAATCGACGTAAAGTAAAGTAAAGTAAAGCTATCCCTGTAACAGGCCGTGAAGGCCCATAGGGTTGTGAGACGTTGAGTGTCCCACACTATCTAGACAATTGGCTCAAAGATGGCGGTAAGGTTGTCAGCCTTACGCGCCGGCCGCGCTTTACTCCCCAGGAAACTTATTTAATTAATTCCTGGTACTCATTTCTGTTAGAGGCTGAGTAAACCCCAACACGCAAAATATATTGTTTCGTGCCGCCAAAAAGTCGGGCGACAAGACGTCCACTGATAGGCAATGGCTGCAATAAGAATGTATACTTCAGTGGAAAACCAATTCCAGCAGACTGTTTCATAGGAATCGCCAAAACAGATACGTTTCCCCAGAAATGGAAGGATATCCATGGAAACAAATACTACTAGCGGATAAAACGGAACCCTTGAACACGATATTCACTAGTCAGTCCGAGTGCACGTTATAAAAGACGAGCTTCCACGAGATGATCTGCTCTGTAAAGCCTGTACTGACAGAGGACTTGTGTGTAGTGCAAAAGGAAGAATTTTCAATAACATGTTATATGTGCGAAATATGCACTTGACGAAAGGTCGAATGTATTCATAAGAGACAGACCCATCTTCTCGTCAGAGAGGATGTTACATAAGGACTATTACCGCAAGAGTTCAGTTGGGGGGAAAAAAAATCTCTGGTCCTGGGCCTCAAGGGGCCCGATGCCAAGACGAACTGATTGGCGGTAAACCGCAAGTTGTAAAATACCTCTGACTCTGACTCTGACAAGTCCATTTTTAGTGTAGCTCTGTCGAAGGCAGAAGCAAGCTCGCATCTGACAAAGGACAGAAGACACTTCACCAAGATCAGCAGTGCAAGTAATTGTGATAGTGAAGTTGTAAATAATTGTAATTGCGAGTGTAAAAGAGATTGTCCAATAAACGTCTTAGCCAGATCCGAGACCCGCGTAAACTTACTTGTCGCGTTACATAGTAAACACGCGACAATATGTTAACATTTTCCTTATCTTCGTGAAAAGGTGGCTAATGTTAAAAAAATTCCTGTCACTATTATTATTATTATTGTTATTATTATTATTATTATCATTATCATCATCATCATCTCTTGTCACAGGTTTATTTCCTGGTATTCCTTTTCTTGAACCAGTGATGCACCTCACCACTCAGGCTTCAAGCTTCACACTGTAGCACTTTCCGTAGTATGTGTGATGTTCTCAGGATAGCTGTTTTTTGCAGTGAATCTATGGAGTGCTTACCAGGAATTAGTTCCA